CTCCTCGCGAACATCTATTTTCAATATAAATAACCCGGAAAAAAATTGTTTTCAATTGTATAATTCGTTTTTAAGCCAACGTATCGGATTGAGCGATATATATTTTTGAAAGAAATTGGAAGTTATAAAAAAGTTCTCGTGTGATTTTTCGATAAATTCAGCCCGCCAAATGTTATTCAAGGTTAAGGTCGAACTTAAATATAAAAAATTACGATTTTTTTTTTAAATTTTCGCAAAATGCTAAAACTTATCACTATCTAAATATCATGAAATTTGTCTTGGAAATTTTTTAATTTTTAATTTAAAAAAAGAGTGTGGAAGAAAATGACTGACTCATAAAAAAATGCAAAAATTCAATGGTAAGTCCGAGCTTATTCAAACTTGCTTAAATTGGAGTTTTTTAAAAAGGAAATTCTGCCGAGTTTTCTAATCGAAAAATATTGATTTTCAAGAATTGTATACTATTTATACGATAAGCGTTTTTCCCCATATAAAATACATGGAAAACTTCATGAGCTTTGAGGCAGCTCTGAACAAAAAATAGGTTACCCTTTTTTCATTTAGAAAAACTCCAGGGGTGAGAGCTTAACATTTTAAATTTTTTGGGCCACCCTAATATACGTACATACATATGTACATATAACCATTACCATACTTTGACCATTATTACGGCGAGTACCTGACACAATGGATGGTTCAAGCTTGAAACACGTTGGAAACGACGGACCACGGACCACAGCTGTCAAATTATTTTAACCCGTACTCTTATGTAGATAATTATTTTGGCGGCGACAGAGCTACACTGCGACTGTGGTTGTGGCCAGATTAGATCTGTTTCTAATTTTCTAGCGACAGATAAGGTTGTTGCTCTTCTTTTATATCAAAATCATACAAATTCATGATGTCGCTGCCGCGTTCAAAAAATTCATGTCGCTATAGACAAACTGTTTAGATTATGAAGATAACAAATTTGAAGCTGTGGCCCTTGGCTCGTGGACCGTCGTTTCCAATGTGTTTCAAGCTTGAGCTGCGTGAGTTTACACATATGTAGTGAATCGAATCAAAATACTTAAGACCGCTAAAAAAGTTGTAGTGGAAATACATTTTTTTATAAATTTGTACAAATCTACCAATCGTGTGATTCGGCCTTTATGTTATCTAGACCATATCGGCCAAGTGGATGCGAATGTTCTAACTCTAAAAGTATTCGATGCTATATCCACTGATCCGGGTGTAGTGAGGTTTGCCATCATGTGCCGTTTCTAATTGGCGCCAGTTAGCGAGAAGAAAAAAATGACTGGTGTGCTATGTTGAACTTGACGATTATAGCATTAATGAGCAAGACTACAAGTGTGAAAACATAACAAATAACCTGCTCGTATTTGCTAGAAATTTTAACAATAAAAAACTTGTTTAACTAGTTTATGTTTTTCCTCTGTATTTAGTTTATTTTTTGTATAAACACCTGTCTTACGTGTATTAACAGCCACTGTTGACACTGATTGCGAGTTGTTGTTGCTGATAAAAATTGTATTCGAAAATAAAATGTATGTGTGGCATTAATTTGTTTTCAAAGAAAGTATTGTACTATGCTCGTAAGTGAATGAGTATCTGTCGAGTCATTTATAATACAAACGTGCTTATGTAAAATTAATCATTGACTATTAATAAATAAATGACTAAATCTTTATTTGAAGGCAGGATGTATACATACATACGTATGTAAATCTTATCAAAATATGATTTGTCCTTATCTTAGCATAAATGGATTGATAAAGTTCAGATATTATGATTTGTCCTTATCTTAGCATAAATGGATTGATAAAGTTCAGATATTTTAAATGGTTACTGAACGTAATTAGATACTATTTAGTAGAGTATTGAAATTGCTAGCTAACAAGATGTGAAATTGCCTTTAGATTGCAGCTAAAACAAATTCATATCTATGCTTATCAGTGTTTTATTTCTTGGTAATTCAAGATTTGTACTTTAATCAAAAATAAACTATGTATTTGTCATATCAAGATAAAATTATTATTTTTTAATGTCTTGCTGCTTACATAAGTATGTATGTTTTTAATTATGTATGTATGTATGTATGTATGTAGTTAGTCAGTTGGCGGTTTTAGTTAAAATAGTTCAGCAAACTAGATAAATTTCCTGCAGATGTAGAAAAATAAAATTTCGCTTAACTTAACATGGCAGTAAAATTGTATTTAATGAAGATTATTATGAACGAACGTGATTCTTTGCAAAGTAAATACATATAACTTAAAAAAAAACAAGAACAAAAGTTATTTTTGTTGATTTTTTTTATTGTAGGTTCAGCAATTTGTATAACTTGTCACCATACCGAGTTTGTTTTAAACTAAATAATTTTGCCTTCTGCACTTCACATATGGTTTTTCATAATGGTAAAAACCAAACAAACAATTGCTTAATTTCCATGATATTTGTTATTTGGAAATTCTTAAGTACGCTCATTACAAATTTGAAATTAGTTTTTGAAAATCCAAAATGGAAAATCTAGTATGGCAATTTTCTCACTTTTTTAATAAATTTATTGAGGTTTGGACTTAAGAACAACGAACTTCGTATAAAAACAAATCCTAAAAAAATGTGGCAGCTAGGTGATTTCTTTTTTTCTTAAGTCATAGCAGACGCCCCAATTATCCCCCATTACGTATGTTCAACCGTCTGTCAAGCACCCTGTAATAATTATAATTACTGTTATCATTTCATCATTTAATTTTAAATTCATTTTAAACATTTTCCCTTTATTAAAATAAATTATTTATTTTTTTAACAAAAATATTGTGTTACTCAGCTGCAAGGAAGCTAAAGGACAATTTTTAAGATTTGCTTATTTTTAGAGAGAAAGTTTAAATGTGGTAAAGAATTCTTGATTAGCGTGTTTCATGTTTGAGAAAATTTCCTTAATTAGAGAAATTGACCACTTATGTGACAACTGTCAAAATTATAATTTGACATAATTGGTCAGTTTTAGAGAATTTGACAGTATTATTGACCGCTGTCAACTGTCAAAGTTTTAATTTAGCATACAATTAATTACTAACGTGTTTAATAACCTAATCCGTGGATTTTTAAAAAAAGATTTTCTAAGTTTTAGAAAAATGTACAGTCCATTTGACAGCTTTGACTGTCAAAGCTTTAATTCATCATCAGCGGCTCTAAAAACCTCTGCAGTGGAATTCTTAAAATGATATTATTAGTTTTAGAGAAATTGACAGTCCAGTTAGCTGTCAACTACCAAAGTTTTAATTTGTAATAAAATTAGTGCCTAGCGTTTCTAGAAAACCCAATTAGTGGCTTTTTTCCAAAAGATTTTTTTTTATTTTTAGAAAAATTGACATTTGATTTGACAGCTGCCAACTGTGAAACTAAAAGTTGTATGACATATTCGAATTTGGCATGACAATAATACTAAGATCCTATAGTTTTATCAAAATCGTAACAGTCGTTTTAATTTTTCGCTAAAAACATGGCCTCTCCGACCACTGTGCGACGCTATGAAACCAAAAGTTAGTGGAAACAAAGTCTTTAAAATTAGCGATTTGTTACTTTTACCTACTTCCTTTGCTGGTACGCAATTAACAAATCCTTTAGTATGTAGTTTTTTATTAAAAAATTAACTAAATCATTTGTATGCTATAGAATGTGGTTTTTCACACCCACCTTGCTATCAGCGTATCTGATTATATTTTGTATACAGTTTATAATAATAAAATTGACTAGAAAGTATTAATTTTTTAACAGATAACCTGATAACGAGGTTTTTAGGTGTGAACACCCACAATATTTAAGATAAATTGTAAATAATTCTTATTAAATTTTTTTACTTTCTCGATATGCTCCTATGCCTCAATAACTACATACTCGAAATTGCTCTCGAGAATTCTTCAACAAATTTGCGCTTGTGCTGTACAAACATGTCATTTTCGTTTTTCATCTTAAAATCCCATTTTACAAACTTTTTAGTAATTGCTCTACGTACTTCTTTATGGTTNCTCGAGAATTCTTCAACAAATTTGCGCTTGTGCTGTACAAACATGTCATTGCTCTAGAAAATTTTCGTTTTTCATCTTAAAATCCCATTTTACAAACTTTTTAGTAATTGCTCTACGTACTTCTTTATGGTCCTCAGACCACTTCCATAATATCAAACTTGTTTTCAGAATTCAAAACTTAACTAGGTAAAATGAAATATTGAAAAATATGTACTTTGCAATTCAAATTTTGTCGAAGGCATCAAAAAATAACGTTAAGACAGCTCTATGTGTACAGCTGTACAGATGCATGGAAATACTTATGTATGTACATACATACATTAGACTGCATCACCAAAAAAAGTTGCGGTTTTCCACCGGGATTACAAAATTTATTGTACTTTAAGACGTCCACCAAAATATTCGGAAAAATATTAAGATTTACGTGAGCTGAACCGATTTGGAAATATCTCCAAAAATGGAGTTTTTTATGAATAAAAATAGTTTCTCAAACAACTTTTTGAAAAAAGTCCCCTCAGATGACAAAACGCTTTAAGCTTAAAAAATCTGCATAAAAATATTTAAAAATAATTTTAAAAATATTGAACGGAATCGTAATAATGAGATTTTTGATGCAGTTTATTACTTTTTTTTTGCCTTCTTCTCCTTGTCCAGCTCAGGCATTTCATATTATCGTTTTAAGCAACCATTTGATTTTCAGGGCAATTAACTCCCTTGGCAAAGCTTCACAAGGGCTAAAAATGTGCCTTTTTGCCTTAGAAGAGTGTGACATTTTAAGAAAGGAACACAAAATTTTCTCACCATTTTCCCTTATTTTTGAATCGGACACGAAAAGAGAAAGGGGCAATCAAAATGCGAAATTTTTTGTTGAAACGAGAACACCATTAGATTCAGTAGTATTCGGCTAACTTTTTTTTCTGGTACGGTCTAATGTACATACATATGTATATTATTGTTGTTGTGCGATCTTACCAAAGTCTAGGACGGCAGCAAAGGCCAATACGAATAGAAACAACTTCGACAACCGGGTCACGTACATTTTTGCTTTTCTTGCTGTTATTGTCGCTGATTTGCAATGGCTTTTCTCTTTTCTCTTTTGTTTAAAGATAATAAATATCTTAAACACGGAATTCAATGAAATAAACACTCTTATCCGCAACTGGATGGCCAGATAGCTTTTTCGTTATCAGTCACAAACACTTATCGATGTGAAAAATAAGAAAGACACGAACAAAGTGATATCGAATTATACAAATACGCAAAGTGGCAGTTAAATGCGAATTTTTACAAGTATTTACACTGTAAATTTTACAGTTATAAGTTGGGCACGATGTGATAAATTAAAATTAAAATTATACACTTTCAATCGCAGTTTTCTCGATTAACAATTTCATTTCCGAACGCGCCGATGGTCATGACCAAAATGGTCAAACGTCTTTTAAAGCGAGAAATTAAATTGGAAAACTTTTCGGTTACAAAGATACGCGGCCCACTCCCAACTTGATCTTGACTTCGCGAATGTTACTGAAAGACTGTCTCATTGGCCGGCAGCGGCTGTCTGAGAGCGAAGCAATGCACAAAGTCAGTAATAGCGACGAAGCAATAAACAAGCCATGAGAAATCCAATGCGCAGAGCGAAGATGGTGACACATTTTATATGTACATATGGACGCACATACATACATACATAGTATGTACGTGGCGAGGCTTCTAACTTGGCTAAGAGCAAAGAAACGCCAGGTCGATAGCAATAAACTGGATTGTTTTGATCAACGCTATTGAATGCTCTACAATAATGTTCTTATGATCAATGAAAATGGCAACATTAGTAAGTATCGTCCAACTTCTTTTTTTATTACCTTCCACTAGGATGCAATAAACGAATTCTATACCTAATATGTGTTTTTGATTCAACCAACACCATTGGGGGGTGCTCCACTTACTGCAGTTTTCACGTACATAAGCAAATTAAGTGAACAATTATTTTTTCTGCCAGTTCCCCTGAACACTTTCAAAAAATGGAATTGGCACCTTTTCACCCTTAGGTGACGATATGTAACTGAATAATCAGCATGGCTTTTTAGAAATAAATAACTTATTTTTTACAATTTTAAATTTATTTCAGTTATGAATCAAATTTTGTATGTACATACAAACACATGTATTTGGAAAATTTGTATAGCCATTAAAAATTTTAAATTATGAATTAAAAAAAAATTAAAAAAAAAATGTCCCATTGTCAGGTGTGGGGTTCGAACCCACGCTCCCTCTCGGGAACCAGAGCTTAAATCTGGCGCCTTAGACCGCTCGGCCAACCTGACTACAGCGAATACATTGTCAAATTAACCACAAGAACCGAACAAGCCAAAAGCACTTACACAAAAGGGAAATTTATAGATTTTTGGTTGCAGTCTTTGCTAAATTTAGTGTACTTGCTAATTAAGGGAAATTATGAAATGTTGCCAGGCAATCTTTTATGCTATAAAATTATAAGTACGGAACCTTCAACAAAAATTAATTCTAACGAATATGTGATTACACAGGCCTACGAAATCTGACTTTTTCCCCTTTCAAATAATTCTGTTCTTATTTTGAATATCTAGGTATGTTAATTTAAAATAAATCTTCTTTTTTTATTCTAGCAAGTCAAGATTTTTTTTTGTTGGTTATACATATATAAATTTTAGAACTTTTAGAATTTGCATGAAAACCAAGTTTTTATTAATATAGAATTGCATTCTTATTTAAGAACAAACAGTATTAGTTGAAAATACCCACAAAAAGACTAAGTAAATCAAAAAAAAAAAACTTATATAATTTCGAAGTTAATTGTAATTTTTGTTTTTAACTCCGAGGAAAATGTTTGGAGTTATTGGAGTAATATTTGCGTTAAGTATTGAAGTCAATCCAATTTTTTTACTACCACAGAATATACGTTTTAAATTCAAAGAGCTAAGGTGTTCGTGAAAGTGGTGCAGCGGTTAATAAATAAACTTTCAACGAGATCAAAGAAAAAAGGAAATACAATTTTTAATAAAATATCATATCTTGATATATTGTAGGTTATTTCAATATATCATTTATATGTTATTTTAATGAGTAAATATATTTGGTTTAAATTTTAAGTTTTATATGTTGAAAGTTTACTATAGAGTAATCAAAAACTTTCCTTTTGATAACAAACAAATTCATTGAACATCAAGAATTTAAACAAGTATAAAAACATACAGGTAAAATATCCTACAGTAATCATAAGTGGGCATGGTTACGCCTTTATTTTCTTTTTTCCGTCAAAAGATCATTGTACTATCAATTTAGATTGAAGGAGCTTCAGCAGTTACTAAAATATCGCAGGTTCGTATTTCGACTTTGCTTATTTTCAATACCATCCGTACACAAGCCAAGTTTCGTTATGATATCTCAATTTTTACTAGTTATCGTGTGCACAGACGGACGGACGGACGGACAGACAGTCACCGCTTAAACGATTTTATTTTTCATTTTGATCATTTATGTATACATTTGTTTATATCTATCTCGATTCGTTACAAAAACTGTTATGTGAACAAAGTTATAATACCCTTGTGCACAAGTGCGCTCGGGTATAAAAATCCAATTTTGGAGGCATGCACAATGGTGTCCACAATATCGTCTTCAATTTTGTATATACATATATGTATATTTATAAAAAAAATTTATGTAAAAATAAAAATATTGAAATACTAATTTAAAAAAAACGTCCCATTGTCAGGTGTGGGGTTCGAACCCACGCTCCCTCTCGGGAACCAGAGCTTAAATCTGGCGCCTTAGACCGCTCGGCCAACCTGACTATATGACACTTCCTGCACAAGTTCGCACTTCAACGCCAACAATGAACATTTTCACCAATGCAACTACAAGAATGGTTTGTGTCCATTATTTTTATAGTAGCAAAGTCTATAACCAGAACAAAAAGAAAAGGAAGAGCAAATGGAAAATGTCAACACTTCACTTTCCGTCATGGGCGTCTTTTTCATACATATTAAATTTATTGTTGCTTTCCATGAACCAAATATGTATACAAGATCACGCATGAACGCGACGTTGTATTTGAAACTGGTTTTGAGAAAAAAGTTTGCGAAAGCGGGTTCGTCAGCTAAGCATTTGTTTGCATGTGCTCCAACAATTAAACGTTTTGTTATATTACTTCAGGTACATATATTCCGCGCTCGTAACAGAAATTTTGGAACCGTAAAAAAAGTTCCCGACAATTTTTAAACACTTTTTGAATTGTATACACTCCTGTAGCAGGTAAATTTTGGCTACCACCACTTCTTAAAGCAAGATATTGCCTATGAAATATGAAAAACGAAATTTCTATATAAAATCATCGCTGAATATGTATGTATATTTACTTGTTACCAATAAACCTAGAATTCCGGCAACAAGAAGTGGTTACAAGTTTTGGTAATAAATTGTTCAGGTTGCAAAATGTTCGGTAACGTCCAGAATAGGCAGGTGAATGAAAAAAGTTTACTAGCATACATGTTTGTAGATGCATATTTCATTAGAGAGTACCTAATTTAATAACTCTGTATTCGTTAGTTCATTCACAACTCGTTAAATTTTTGAGCATAACTTCCATACTTTTCTGCATGACACCGCAATGACATTTTCATCAATTCATACACAGTTTTAGTTTACGTTATTCGCTGTGCAACAGCATAAAAAATTTTCTTAAAAGTTGTGTGGCGCCAAATATATGTATCTGGATCAGTCCGGTAACGTATACTCGAGCGTTGTGGGAACGTACAACAACACTAGGCCCATTAACTTCCGAGAAATAAAATTCTAGAACTTGAAGAAAAAAGTTCCGGCCATTTCAAGAAACTACTAATGATAATGCACTAAATATTAGGTATAAAGTATTTATTTTCCATGCTGCTTTGTATACATAAAATTATAAATAGACATTCTTAATGTTTAATTTCTTCACTCTATTTTTCGCTAATAATAACAAAACCTAGTGGTTCTTTTATACTGTTATCAGTAAATAAATTAACATATATGTATGTAATTCATAAGAATTACTATGTTTCATATTTGTAAGTCAAAAATTGGTACCTGTTATTAAGAGAACATGTCGCTTGTTTGCTGGAAGAACGGCTTATTCCAAACAAACCAACGGTCAAGAAAATCGGCTCTTCTAGCAAACGATCGAAATGTTCATAATATAAAAGTACATGTGTTTATGCCACTTATGTACATACATACGGGATACAACAATTTTATTGTTTTTATCAATTATTCATTACTATGTAGTATTAGAGAAAGTAGACACAGGAGTTGAATGATTTTAATTGTTAATTCCATTTTAAATACTTGTGTGAATGAATAAGTATGCTGTTGTATAGGAATCGTATAATTTTACTGAGAATAGTGTATAAATACTTCTTTTAAAACACATACGGCCCTATGCGGAATATCGTCATCGTCATCGTCGACGATCTTCAGTGCATCAGTAACATGGCTGACGATGGCCGTATCATCACTTTTACTGACAATGACGATATTCAGCATAGGGCCGATTGTGATATATGTACATTTAGTGATTCATATCGAACTGTAATGTTTCTAGCTAATAATTTTAGACAATTTGCATGCTAACAAAACGTTTAACATTTTTTAATATATACTGCTTGCGCACAAATTATGCTTACATTATTTTAATTTATTCAAGCAACTCATTTTATTGATTTAGAATCTGCAAAATTTCTATTAAGATTTTGATTTCTTGTAACTAACGATAAAATGGCTCTTTAAACTTTAGCAAATATGCTGCTAATTCTCAAATTTCGTTAAATAAATTTCTCTTTCTACTGCAAAGTGCGCAACGACTGTAAATACATTCAAGCAACTCATGCTAATTCTTGAAACTTTTTGTTTTCGTACTAAACATCGAGTAGCAATTTTCCAAATCTAACACTAATATTACATACTATATTTCCCTTGCTCTTGTTGATACGTTGAAAGCACATTGACCGACGGTTCTTAATTTATTTTTGGATATCAAAAACTTTCTTTTTTCTTTTTTTTTTGCAAAAATACACATACAATTTAAATAATCATTAATTTAACTATTACTTTTGATTTAATTGCGATTTCAACTTAACAGTTGAATTTCATATAAATTGTTTTATTTAGTCTGCATTTCATTTCTTTATCATATACATATGAAAGTGGAGCGTATTGAAACCTAAACGGTTTTCTTTACTTAATTGCTATTAGCACCCAGATTTTTGTATGGTTTACCACCGTTGCGCTCCCATTCACGATTGAATTCATGTTCCAAAATTTCAGCGCCGCGTTTGCGTGTCAGACCGGTCTCCTCCAGGCTAAGTTCGCACATTTGCATGTCATCAACACCTGCGTAGATTAGAAGAATAAGAAATATTTTATTTTCAATGCACAACTAATTTTATTTCTACGGAGTCACAATACTTAAAATTTAGATAATTAAACTTTCTCTATGTCCAAACTATTTAGGCATAGATATGTTTTAGCCTCAAAAATGTAGTTGTTTACCTGCTACTAGCAAAATGGGTGGTTTATCAGCATGCAATTCCATTTGTCGCGCTATCCATTGTCCATCAAAGTGTGCGTACCAGAGACCGCGTTTAGCTAAAACACGGAAGGGCAATTCGACAACATTACTAAATAAATTCATGTAGTTTTCAAATTTATTTAACTTACTATTTTCAGGAGCGTTGGCGCGCATAAATGGTATGCGGAAATAACGGTGCTGGGCAGTTGTGATTTCCTGCTTGGGATGTGCTAGCGGAGGTGCCTTATAAGCTGTAAGAATAAAAATGGATATAAATTAAAAACTTTGAGCAAAAGAATATGCAGATCTAAGTATAACTGGCGGATACTTAAAGTACATAAGATTGAGCCACCCAAAAAAAAATGTGATTACCTTACCCAACAAACATCGCACAAATTTTTCTCCAACATTTGTGAAATATATAGCTTTAAAGTTGATAACTACCACATTTCTCTTCCCTAAACTTGCAGAACTCAGGAGAAATTTTTACTAGTTGATATCCAACATATTTCTACACTTACAGTCTATTCTGCACGTTATCGAATATTTTGTAACCGAAAAAAACCCTTACCACTTTTTATCATCGTAATTCTAGGCACATGGTAGGAATGTTAGTCCCGGGGTACCGACCTTTTTTAGGTCCCGAAAATCCCGGCATTCTTGGCAAATAATCCCAGGATTTATTGAACTGATGGCAATAATAGAAATTCCTTTTCTTGACCAGTATTGGCTACATTTCTTTTTTTATTTAATAATTAATATTTTGTTATAAATGTCTAGCTTATTATACTTATAAATAGTAAATTTTACACTCAAAAATCAATATATTCGCGAAACAATAGGCCAAATATAGTAAAATTGCGTTTTTAGTTCTTCACTCTGATGTCAGTAATTCAAAAATTATTTAAAAATTCAGTGAAATGTGCTTAGAGAAAAAGTAAGGGTATCAAATTAAATAGGAAACTCTGTAGAATTTGAACAGATTAAATATTTTGGTGCATACGTACTGGTATGTATTGAAAATGTCCTTTTAAAATTGTATCCTTGAAATTTCGGAATATTTTTTTTTGAAAAATTATACGTTAAGGATTTATATAAACTCGATAACATCGCCCTTCTAACTTTATCAGGTTAAAAAAATTAAATATTCGTCCTTGTAAATCCAAAAAAATTTTATTTTTTTTTAATTGTAAAGAAATTTCCTCTTTCATTTGGTACCCATATTTTAATTCTACATTGCATTGAATTTTTTAAATAATTTTTGGAATTAAGCATATCTTTGAAATAACAAAGTCCTTTAAAATAAATTCTGACGTCAGAGAGAAAAAATGAAAATGCCACTTTAAATAAAAAAAAGTAGATTTCAACCCCAATTATTTATTATTTATTTTATGGTAGGAAAGCTTCTCAAACAATATAGGAGCAATTTTTTCGATTTAAGTTGTTGAAAAGTAATGAATATCTAAATTCCGGGACAATCCATCGGGATTGTGATAACGGCATCCCGAATCCCGGGTCGTAAAAAGCGAAAAAATTAACATCCCTAGTACATGGACAATGTTGTCAATACCCTTAATATACTCGTATCCTGCAATTCAACTAATAACTTTTTAGGAATTCTGGTATTGCATATTTCAAGGGACAAGGTCTTTGCTAGCAGCTTATAAGATGGTAACAGAATTTTCCGGTTACAAGAGTGCACAGAATACGAAAAGAAAAGGGGTTAAAAATCTGACGGGAGTTTTCATTAAACGGCTACAAAATTTTTGTTACCATTGCATAAGTGATCTGTTATTATTCAAGTTGATTATCGTTAAAGCTTTTGTGTGTAAAAAACACAAAAGGTAGAATTTGCAAATGAGGAGTGGATACACATTCTGTGGCCCAGTTTTCCAGAGGAATTATTCGTTTTACCAGCAATTTAAGCAAAAATCTCTTTTCCCCTTCTGTCATAAATTCAAATATAAAAATATAATTTTTCAATTAAATTGAATTTGTTAATTACACAGTTCGGCACAGTTCTGGTAGATTTGCTAGTGCTGAATCCAAATCTAGCCGCTCTTGCACGTCAGGATTTCGAGATATCCTAACCTCAAAGTGCCAAAACACGGTGGCGATATTTGAGGTCATATTATGAAAACAAATTTTTTAGCTCATTTCTTTTTAGGATATCATTTAGTACTACTCTTTCCCTTTGTGTCGATTCCATTTTCCTTTCTTGAGATATACCAGTTTAAATGTGCAGTACTTCGGTATTAGCTATGATGACGCATGCTTACGAAGTAATACCGTTGTACTGCACATTAAAACTGATATATCTCGAGAAAGAAATATCGAATCGCACAAAACGAAAATTAAGTTTAGAGGGGAAGAGTAGTGCTAAATGATGCCCTAAGTAGAAATTAACCAAAAAAAATTTGTTTGTTTTCATAATATATGTATGTATCCTAAAATATCCGCAAAAACCGTGTTTTTGGTTCTTTGAGGTTAGGATATCTCAAAATCCTGAGTTTTCGGGAGAAAGATTCTGCGAAATATTCACGCGTTGGCGATGGCGAATACCGCCGATGATTTAACGATGAGATGTATAATCCTTACAACGATATAAATATAGTGCAGCGAATTAAAATTCAGCGGCTCCGCTGGCTTGGCCATGTCATAGACAGGAACGTCCCTGCGCGGGCCGCGATGCTGGTAGCAGAGGAAAGACCAGGACAGAAAGACAAGACAGAAGAGAAATGACTGGCGTGCTTTGTTGAACTCGGTCAAAATCTCTTAGGTGGTTGCAGGGCTAAATCAGAATAAGAAGACATATCGCTAGTTTAGAGTGAAAAGTTGGTAAGTGCTGGAGAAATTACAAATGCATTGTTTCGAAAAGGCTAAAGGTATTCGTTTTATTTATTCTCATTATAATTCAATGAAAGGAAAATTTGCTAAGTCCAAAAGAAGCACCGGGGACCCGATAAGGCCAAACTGTAAGAAGTCTTTCAATAGAGATCGAATCCCTCGGATTCATATGAAGTTTTGCTTTGCTTCAAACAACCAAAATGTTGTATTCAAAGTTTTGCGAAATGCTTGAAGAAAATTGTTACAAGAAGTTTTTTCCGATCCTGTAAAATTTCTAAAATGGGACTTAGCAACTTTTCACTCTAAGCCAGCGATATATGTATACCCATACAATTAATACTCAAAAATACCCTTTGATGGTATATCACTCGTTGAAATTGGGCTACAAACAGTGTTGCCGTTTTTCATCGAACTTTTAAAGATACTTTTATTTTAAGCTCAGTATAAATTGTGATACATTTTAATTCACAAATAAATTTTGGGTAACTCTTTCCATCTTAAGACTTTTATGATTTTGTGGCAACGCATTAAGTTTGTTTTCTTTCACTGAAGATGTCAACTTTAATATGTATATGTTGCTACAGACAACTAGCCTGGTCCCGTACTCCAGGATTTAGTCCGAAATTGCCCGATGTCGTTTCCTTTCATACATTTATGATGTATTTTGCGAACAATTTCTCACTAAGTCCTGGTATGCGGGAACAGGCTAATATTGTCGTTCCTTTTTCCTTTTTGATTTTGAAGTTGTTGAACGTGGGACCGGGCTAAGAATTTCATCCAGAGTAATCCGGTAAGAATTGTGAAATTTACTTTTATTGTCAATGTTATTGTGACTTATTAACGTTTTATTTTTTTAATATTTTTATTGAGCTTTGTACCACTATTGTTTATTAGGAAAAATTGANTGTTTGAACTTTTATCGCAACGATTGTTGAAGTTTTTACAAATTGATCGATTTGAAAAATTAAAGCGTTAACTTCGTATTCAAAAGAAGAAGAACTTTTCGAAGACTCGATATAAATATATTGCAAGTCTACAATACTTCAACGAACGGGGACTGCTTCCGTCACTCCTTGCGTACACTTGCACCCAATGCGTCATATTTTTGAATTGTATTTTATCACAGCTCCGTTGATTTGGCTAAGTATTTAATGTACATTGTCCCAAAACAATTCCGTGCCTAACCTTTTTCCTTAGAGCAAAGTTGGTTAATCTATTTTAGGAAATCAGCTATTATGTACATATTGACCGCTGTGGCTGGGTTCATTCAATTGCTGACAAA